AATATTTAGAGCAAAGTTTACATTTCCATGCAGAGAAATATGAGTTGAGGTTAACAGAAATCCTCCTGAGCAGTGACAGCCTCCATGGCTAAACAGACACAGGAAGGAGCGCCGCCTAAAGAAACTCCAACATCTACAGAACAACTCATGAGAAGAGGTTAAAGCACATCCCATAATGTTTGATTGACAGCTGATCTCTGTCCAGTGAAGACATGAACAATCAGCTCTCAGCAACAATGATGGACACACAATGAGTTTAAGAAGTAGAAGAGTTCCTCAAATGACTTCAGGCTATTTCAGTTTACAAAACTCAGCTGTGTCTCCATAGTCATAATAGAGACACTTGGAGAATAAGAAGGTAACAAACAACTAAACTGAACTCATATCCAAAGTGACGGACAGCCAGAGACGCTTCACTTTCACATTAAAGAACAAAGACTTCACTTTTGTCTTCCTGTTATCCTCAAGTTTACTTTACACCTTTGATCCTTGGGGGTCATTTTGACGAAAGAACAAACTAGTGGCAGAGGAATAATTATTAAAAGACAGCAGCATCATAAGAGGGCAACCATGTGACAGAGTGTGTCACTTTGCTGAAGGATAGTTGGGACCAGCTATCCAGGCCAGACTCTAAAGACTTTCCAAGGTGTACAAATGCTGCTGCCGGAGTACTGACTGGAAGTAGTGCTGATATCATGTCTACCATCCTCTTAAAATACTCTGTCCAACAATATCAGTCTCAGGAAGAAAGGTTTTGTAACGCTTATTAAAAGAAAAACATGCATTCTTGTACTCAGGAGGGGACATTGACAGAGGATTACTGGAAAAGTACACAGTAAGTACTTCATAGTACTTGTGGGGGTAGTTTCACTAGTACTGAGTCCAACAGGATCAATCTCACGAAGAACTAATGGCAACAAAAAAAAACTTAGCAGAAGTGGCTTGATTTTGTTCTCAGCAGGGGACTTTGACAGAGAATTTCTCAAAAAAGACACAGTAAAAGTACTTCAATGTATTGTCAGTAGTAGGCTAACTAATACAAAGTCAAACAGTATCAATTTCATTAAGAACTAATGGTAACATTTTATTTTTATCACTCATCAAAGACAGCAAAAAACATGCATTATGTACTATGGAGGGGACTCTGACAGAGGATTACTCACAACGTACACAGTAAAAGTACTTCATTTCATTTCTGGTAGCAGTCAAACTAGTACCGAGTCCAACAGTGTCAGTTTTATTAACAACTTGTGGTAAAAAATATTTGTATCACTCATTGAATATAGCAGGAAAAGAAATGAAGAGCAGCTGATTTGAAAAAACAAACTCAAGAGACGTCTGAGGTGACCGCAGTGCAGAATCGCTGTATAGTTTAAATCTCCTAACAATGTTGTCCATTTTAGACATAGGCCTATTATATTTACAGCCCTTAATAACATTCATTTTCTGGGCTCAATATGTGTCTTGGCCGTTTTCGTTGTGATCGCTAAATTCACCGTTTCCCCTTGTTTATAATATTATCACCGTTCCAAAACGAGTGCTTTTGTTTTGAAATCACTTCCGCGAGTTTCGCCCCGCCCCTCGCTCCAATGACCATTAGACCATTTAGTAAGGTAAAAAAACAAAAACAAAAAGGCCTCTCAGACGCTCTTCCGCTCACTTGTGTAATAAAGAAAAACAAATGGACCGTAGATACACGGATTAGGGCGACACTATCTGGTCACAACTTACTTTAAATATTTGACCATGTTTATGTGCAAATGAAGAACTCTCACTGGTTCAGAACCTTTTTCCTTAAGTGAGTCTCTTTTCTTTTCTGACTTTATGGGTATTTCACTTTATATTAAATACATAACAATAAGAGTGCAGAACATCTAATACACTTCACTATGAATCGAGAACAATACAACTGCAGGAGTATGGCGAGATGTTTGCATGCATTTTGAGCAGATTTGGGCAGAATCCAGCAGAGTGGATCGTGCTGTTCATCCTATGTAATCTATATGTAAAGAAAAATGTCTAAATATTTAAAGTGGACCTATCATGCTATATTTAAATTATATATTGTAGGGCCATACCTATATAAGGTATATTTATACGTTTTTGTTTTCAAAATACCAAACAGATCATGCATTTTTGCCATGCCTCATTTCGCTCTATGTGCTGTTTGCTGTCTACGGGTCTGATTCTGCTGACCACGCCCCCCTGCAGGAGAGGGGAGACGTGCTCTGATCAGCTGCTGGGCTGTCAGAAGAGGGGAGAAAAAGAGATCTCCGTCCTCCGTGTTTTATTATATAGAGTCGTTATTCATTTGTTTTAAAGCTCAATAAATAACAAAGAAGACCTTTGACCGGCACTTTTCTAATTTTGTCCCGAAGATTTCAACTTTAGCGGACATCTTGACCGGCGAAAGAAACTGAAACTGAAACTCTGCCGTGCGGTCCCCTGGAAGAGACGGAGAGGTGGGTGTTTGTCATCTGCTGGTGGACTAACCGGAGAGAATTACAGTGCTTGCCTCGACGGGGAGGGATTGCATTGAATTAAAGCAGCGGGAGCAAACGCTTGCCTCGGGGAGGGAGAAAAAAAGCCACAGCGGAGAATAAACAGAAGGGTAACCATGGTCACCAAGTCTTCTTCACTGCTTTTGTGGCAGACTACAGCGCCACTTACAGGCCTGGCATATGTACTACAGCGTTTCCAGCGCTTTCGAGCGGCAATGGCCGGCCGTGGCCCAACCCCACATTCCCGATAGATGGAGAGTTGGCCCAATAGCCGTAGCGCCACCGTCCTGACGTCAGGACAGTGTTCAAATCTGGATCAGTTTTTATCAGATCCGTTGCAGCCCCTTTTTTAGAGATTTGGGTATGGAGGAAAATAGAGAGGGTTGTGTTTTCTGACACTTGGTGAGTTCCCTGGAACACCGGGGACACATATTCATGTATAAAAGACGTACAAAAGTGCATTTTGCATGATAGGTCCCCTTTAAGATAAAGCTGTGAAACAATCTCAATAATTGGCAGCAAAAATGTAAGGTTTTTTTAATTGGCATAAAATGATACATGTTGAGATAGGAAGTTCTAATATCTTAAGAGAAGACCTTGAATATTAAAAAAAATAAAAAATACAAACTCTTTTGGCTCCTTCCTGTCTTTCTTTCTATTGGGTCTTTCTTGGCTTTGTACTCGCTTATCTTCTAGCTCTATTCAGGTTTTTGGAGTTTTTTTCTAGCTCTATCCCTGATCATTTTCAGAACCTGAAGGCTCTACACGGACTATCTTCTGGTTCTTTTCTGGATCCATCCACTATCTCTTGTCTCTGTCCAGTGAATTACACTTTTGTTACTGGAGTGACTTCTAAACAATGAACACCTGCAACTTGGAAGAAATAAAGTTAGGGTTTAATGCATTCTAATATTGCAATGCAAACCCATGATGTAATGACAGTAATTAAGAATAATTTAGTCATTGAATGCTCATTTCAGTAGATTTAATCAAACAAAACATAAACATATTGGACATGGCCTCAAGACTGTAACCTTTTCACATTCTGTTGAAATAGTCAATTACTATCCATATCTTACACATTGCTGTTTTGAATCATTAATATGTGGATGACAGTTGAACTGGATGATGTAACATGTATGCCATCTGCTGGAAAGAAGACGTATCGCTCTGTTGGCGTTGTTTAGACCAGGGGTTCCCAACCTTTATTGTGCCAAGGACCGGTAGATACATTAAAAAAAAATCGCGGACCGGTTGTCAATTTTAACTGATTTTAATATTTACTCACCACCAGCAGGTAGCAACAGAGGCTAATTGTATGTAACAGCCTGAACAAATACTAGAACAATATGCATCCAAAACATATTAACAAAGTTTAAAAAAGAACCGGTGTTGTTTTTTGGTTTTTCGGAAAACCAAAAAACCGACGTTATTCAGTTTTTAAACCAAAACGGGAAAACAGATAAATCAACGTTTTGGTTTTGTTTGTATGATTTACGGATAATCCAGTGAATGCTGGGAAAATGTTGTTCGTTCCGGTGCACTCCCGACAGCATTTAGCACTACATCGAGATTAAGATTAAACTAATTTATTTTGGGAACAGCCGCATATATGCCGGTGTCGGACAGACACAAACACACCGAACACACAGAGCTGAGCTGAGCAGAGCACATACACACACATCATGCGCCTTGGTGACTGACTGGACATCTCCTTCAAAAAAATAATAAAAGGGGGAGTAATCGGGCAGTTCGATGTGTGTAGATGTGTGTGTGGTTAACACGTAGCAGCCTGCAGTCACTCTTAAACTGTTCTGATTAAGTTAAACACAGCGAAGGCGGTGCGTAAAAAGGCACAGCTCTTTACCGAGTATACGTCCCGCTGCCTCCTGATGCTGCAGCCATTTCATGAAGGAGGGTTTCCTTCTATAAAACAGCTGCGGGCAGCAGATCGTGAGAGTCCCGGACATTAATTCATAGATCAAGGCAGACTGGTTTACTCTCCTGTTTTGCCAATCCGGTGCTTAAACAAATAGCTCTACACCCCTGGCCGACATGTCCTTAAAATGAAGTCCGAGTTTGAAATATATCTCAAATAATGTATGCACCACCATTTCCCCACATAAACATAACAGTCTGCAATCAAACGGTTGTCTCCTGTGCGCTCCTCTTCCTACTTGGCGCACCGGTAACATGCTCGTGCGCACAAGAGGCTGAGACCTTAGGCTGAGCCGCCGAATCCCTCGGAACATCATAAAAGCCATTTTCAACGGTTTTCTGGTGAAAGATTAACTAGCTACTGGATGAAATAATATGACTGGTGGCATAGGTGCGAAAATTAAATACTTTTTGAAAAAAAGATTATGATAAAATATTTTTATATATTTATAATTCTGCAAATATTACGATAAACTCACAGCTATTTCGCGGCCCGGCAGTAACACCTCCGCGGCCCGGTACCGGTCCGCGGACCGGGGGTTGGGAACCCCTGGTTTAGACAACATAAACAGAATGAAGTTCTCATTTCATAAACAATCTTTGAGTACAGACACCGTCCTGCAGAGAGCACACAACCCAACAGCACGTTTTTGGTGCAGCATCACTTTACAAAACGGTTGCATTAAGACTAGCTGGTCGCTTGTAAAGGTCAGTCCTCCTTAAATGAGCAGTGGGTGATCAGCAAATGAAAGGCAGGACACGGGAACTTGGTCCTGAGGAGATGTAACAATTATTAAACAAGAAATAGTAGAGTCAAGGGGTTAACGAAATGAACATGTGTGATTATTAGCGAATCGGCTGCAGGTGGGTGAAAACAGGCTCTCATGTGTGTCTTTAAATGATATCTACTTGAAAACGTTTTTTTACAGACTGAGCAGCTGTGTGGTTTCTCTCCTGTGTGGCCTCTCATGTGTGACTTGAAAGTTGCACCATGTGCAAAAGATTTGGTACAAACTGAGCAGCTAAAGGGTTTCTCTCCTGTGTGGACTCTCATGTGTGCCTTTAAACTTCCACTCAATGAAAACGATTTGGTACAAACTGAGCAGCTAAATGGTTTCTCTCCTGTGTGGATTATCATGTGTGTCTTTAAACTTCGATTCAATGCAAAAGATTTGGTACAAACTGAGCAGCTAAAGGGTTTCTCTCCTGTGTGGCCTCTCATGTGTGCATTTAAATTTCCACTCAATGCAAAAGATTTGGTACAAACTGAGCAGCTAAAGGGTTTCTCTCCTGTGTGGTTTCTCATGTGTTTCTTTAAACTTCCAATCTGTGAAAAAGCTTTCTTACAGACTGAGCAGCTGTGTGGTTTCTCTCCTGTGTGGATTATCATGTGTCTCTTTAAACTTCCATTCAATGCAAAAGATTTGGTACAAACTGAGCAGCTAAAGGGTTTCTCTCCTGTGTGGATTATCATGTGTGCCTTTAAATTTCCACTCAATGCAAAAGATTTGGTACAAACTGAGCAGCTAAAGGGTTTCTCTCCTGTGTGGTTTCTCATGTGTTTCTTTAAACTTCCAATCTGTGAAAAAGCTTTCTTACAGACTGAGCAGCTGTGTGGTTTCTCTCCTGTGTGGATTCTCATGTGTGCATTTAAATTTCCACAAATTGAAAAAGCTTTCTTACAGACTGAGCAGCTAAATGGTTTCTCTCCTGTGTGGATTCTCATGTGTGCCTTTAAATGTCCACTATGTGAAAAGGCTTTCTTACAGACTGAGCAGCTGAATGGTTTATTTTCAGCACTACGTCGTGGATCAGATTCATGTCTATTTTTCAGTGAATTTGAGCCTGATGCAGGTTCTCTGGTCTCTTTCCAATCAGCACTGTCTTCAGTGTCAGGTTCAGAAGAGTCTCCAGTGTCAGCTTCAGAAGAGTCTTCAGTGTCGTCCTCAGTCTTTGGTTGTAAACTGCTCTCTGGATCCGAGTTCCTGGCTGGTTCTGGTCCTCGACAGTCATCTCCATCAGCTTCTGTTTCCATGTGTTCAGTTTGTCTTTGATGAGGCTGTGAGAACTGAGGTTTCTCTTCATCATCTTCACTCTTCACAGGGTCAGTAGTGAAAGTGGACTTGGTGATATCAGCCTCCTCCAACTCCTGAATCTGCTCTCCCTCCTGACTGATCCTGAGTTCCTCCTGTTCCTGCTTAATGTGTGGGGGGGGCTCTGGGTCCTCCTGGTCCAGACTGGTGCTCCACTCCTGCTGGTCAGGGAGAAGCTCTTCTTTAAGCACCACCAGCAGCTGGACATCTGCAGGAAACAGGAAACACACAGTCAGAACAAACTGTTAAGTGTTAGCATTTAAAAATCTAATCACCATTACAATGGGAGACATTTTGCAGCCCTAATTAATGCCGTTGTTTTTATATTTTCACATTACCTTTCTTAGTCCGGCCTATTGTGTATTTTTGTTGGCTCAATTCACCTTATGTAGCCCAGCCCCTTTCCACTTCCAGTTAAAAATTAAAAAGGGTTTTTTCTTCTGGCGTAGCACTAGTCGCAATGTAAACAATGAATTGTATTTGGGATCGTTCACAGATACACTACGCCTACAGTATAGAATTAAAATACTCTGTTACAAATTAAAATCCTGCATTCAAACCTTATTTAAGTTAAAGTATGCAAGTATTAACAGAACATTTTACCTTATGTAAATGTAATGATGGTGCAGTAAAATGTTCCCTGTCAGTGTTTAATTGATGTTTCTTGATTATTTCGTATGTTGCATTTTACTGCTGTACATATTCAAAGTTGTGCTCGTATAAATGATTATAGATGAGGGAACCTGCTAAATATTAAAATGTCTGTGTTTTATATACAGTACCAGTCAAAAGTTTGGACACTTTCTCATTCAATGGTTTTTGTTTATTTTAATTTGTTTCTACTTTGTAGATTAATACTGAAGACATCAAAACTATGAAAGAACACATATGGAATTATCTAGTTAACAAAAAAGTATTAAAAAAATCAAGAATATCATTTTTATTTTAGATTCTTCAAAATAGCCCCCTTTTGCCTTGATGACAGCTTTGCACACTCTTGGCTTCTCTCAGTCAGCTTCATGAGGTAGACACCTGGAATGGTTTTCAATTAACACGTGTGCCTTGTCAAGAGTCAATGTGTGGAATGACTTGCCTCCTGAATGTGTTTGAGACCATCAGTTGTGTTGTGCAGAGGTAGAGTTAGTGCACAGTGGAAAGCCCTATTTGACTGCTGTTGTAATCCATATTATAGCAAGAAGGACTCAACCCAGTAAAGAGAAACGACCGTCCATCATCACTTTAAGAAATGAAGGCTAGTCGATCCGTCAAGAACTTTGAATGTATCCTCAAGTGCAGTCGCAAAAACCATTGAACGCTATGATGAGACTGGCTCTCATGAGGACCCCCCCCCCCCCCCCCCGGGAAAGGAAGAGCAAGAGTTACCTCTGCTGCAGAGGATAAATACATCAGAGTTACCAGCCTCAGAAACCGCAAATTAAAGCACCTCAGATTAGAGCCCACATAGATGATCACAGAGCTCAAGGAGCAGACAATCTTAAAGGTCCCATGACATGGCCATTTCTACTGATCATAATTCCATTGTTGAAGGTCTACTAGAATAGATTTACATTGTACAATGTTCCAAAATCACATTGGTTTTCTCATACAGCATCTCTGTATAGTATGTGTATTCACTCTCTGTCCTCCACGCCTTGTTGGAGCTCCTGCCCCCCCCCTCCCTATGAGCCCACTGTGCTCTGATTGGTCAGCTCGCCCACCAGAGTTGGTTGTGTAAACTGTAATAATATTACTTTTGTCGGTAACGGAGTAGTGTAACGCGTTACTGTTATAATTCAGTAATCACACTACAGTTACTAACATTGCCCCGACACGCGTTACTTCGTTACTTTTATAAAATCAGTCATAATCACACTGACAGACAAGAGGGGTTTCCGCCGCAGGTTTATATGTACGTAATCTGCGCGACTTGCGCGTCCACATCTCCACGTGCAGTGCTGCATAAACATGGCTGAGTCAGCGATAACTTTCGAGGGGTGGAGGTATGCCCATTATTTTGAGTTCGTCCGAAGAATAGACAGGAATGTGACGGTGAGGTGCAAACTGTGTCCAGGCCAGAAGCTGTTATCCACTGCTGTAAACACCACGTCAAACCTCAACAAACACCTGCAAAGAACACATGCTAAAGTGAAGCTAATAGCTAAGGACCCCCAAACCCAGAGTGAGGATGTTGTGAGTGCGCCGCCGCCGACTCCGAAGCAGCAAAAATTACCGGTAACCAAAGCAGAGATGGACAGGCTTCTAGCATCCTTCATAGTAGAGAAAATGTTGCCCATTTGCACAGTGGAATCACCATCGCATCGTTCAGAGATATACTGCGCAAAATACAGATAGCAGGAGACAGAGGACAGCCATGGCCAGAGCTATCTGGATCAGTCTTATGCGAAAATGGAAACTGAACTAAAGAGAACATTTGAAACTTTAGCAGTCTGCGTGATCTGCCTGTAGGGAGGGGCGGGCCGGCCCTGCGAGTAAAGTAACGAGTTACTTTATGTAGAGAGTAACGAAGTAGTGTAATATATTACTTTTTTTTTTAGTAACGACCCCATCCCTGTCGCCCACTCTGTTTTGATGAGTCCGGAGCTCCGCGCAGCACCGCGGCTGAGAAAAGATAAGGTTGAGAGTGTGTGTGTGTGTGTCTGTGTGTGTGTGTGTGTGGCTCCGCGGATTGGTCCATTTGGACTTTGTTACGACAGTACGCCCCGGAAGGAAAAAATGGAAAAAGAAAAATCTCCAACGAGGCGTTCTGGGGCAGCATAGATGTTACGTGCTCCCCTCCTTGTTGTCTTTTCTGTCTCCCTGCTGCGCAGGTGCACCTGGTCTGCCCCTGGCTCCGCCTCTGCCCAGGTGTTCCTAATTCCACTCAGCCGTATTATAAGGAGAAACTGGAGGAGAAGGAGGTCTCGCCTATCCAAACGCCGGGAGACACTCACCTTTAATTATCTCTCTGCTACTTTTGAGCTGTAGACCATTTATCTGCTGATGTTTTTATGTTTAGACTGGAGGACCTGGTAGTCCAGTTTCTGCGGCTATATTTTGTTTCCCATAGGGTATTTATTTGATTTCTGGCTAGGGGAGGGAAACTCTGGGTCCTACGGCCCGTGGTGTGGCTTGCTCGGGTTCCCTCCTTCTGTTTGTTTCTTCTGGCCAGTCCTCCAGACCTCTTTTCGTTTGCCGGATTGCTTGTGTGAGTAAACGGCTGTATTTCAATAAATGATCGTAATCAAGTACTGGTTTTTGCGTGTATTATTTTATGTTGCGGGTCTCCCCACGAGCCACTACCACGGAGTAGAGGGCGGGTCGTAACAATAGACACGTCTTTTCTGTGTTAGAGTTTTACTCGCTACAGGGTGTACTTTGAGGGTTTGTGACTCTGCAGACCGTTTGCAGAAAAAGCTACATAACACACAAGGGGACGGGTAATAACAGGAAAAGCATGACATGGGACCTTTAACATGCACTGTTCAGAGGAGACAGCGTGAATTAGGCCTTCATGGTCCAATTGCTGCAAAGATCCACTACTGAGGATGAACAACAAGAAGAAAAGAATTGTTGGGCCAAGAAACACAAGGATTGGACATTAGACCAGTGGAAATCTGTACTTTGGTCTGATCGGTCCAAATTAGAGATTTTTGGTTCCAACCTCCGTGTCTTTGTGAGACGCAGAGAAGGTGAGCGGATGGTTTCTGCATGAGTGGTTCCCACTGTGAAGCATGGAGGAGGAGGTGAGATGGTGGTGGGGGAGGGGGACTTTGCTGGTGTCACTGTTGGTGATTTATTCAGAATTCAAGTCACCCATAACCAGCATGGCTACCACAGCATTCTGCGGTAGCCGGCAAAATATAAATCATATTCTGGATTTTTTAACACTTTTTTGTTTACTAGATAATTCTAGTTAATGTGTTCTTTTATAGTTTTGATGTATTCAGTATAAATCTACAAAGTAGGAATGCCATGATCAAATTCGAAAATCGGACAGCCCTGGCGAATATTAATCGATTATTCGCCGCCGCCCCCCCCCCCGCGCGGGAGAGAAAAAAAAAAGTATTTTCGCAGAGCTTGCATTTTACTTCATTTGCACTTGTCAGTTCGCAGTAGTTCCACGAGGAACTCTTCTTTGAACGTGCCGCTTTGTTCATCTTTAGTTGTGTTGTTCTCACTGTTCTGTATATCGCCAATAAATCAATCTCACGTGTGACGGAGAAAGGGGGGGGGGGTCGGTGTGTAGCAGCAGGCAGCAGCAGTCTGCACTCTGCGCAGCAGTCTGCACTCTGCGCAGCCTGCGCTGCTGGCTTCCTCCAAGTTTACAGTAAAACAAACTGGTGGTGTGACCAATGGCCATTTACAATTATTAATACTATTACTATTATTAGCATTAGTCTATATTTTGGTTGAAACTAAGCCAGGAAAAAAAAGAAAACATAAATAATAATAAAAAAATATATAAATAAAATCGAATTTAAAAAATAATTTTCGATTATGGAGACTGTAACGAATATTCTGAAAATCGAATAATCGCTGGCATCCCTAC